TATTATATAGTATTATAATAGCATTATATAGTGGTTCAACGCATTATATTGTGTTTTTTTTCTCACAAATCTGACAATTTTTTCGAATAAGCAAGAAAAAAAATATTTAAAGCACAGAGAATGACAATGCCATGAAGGGTTTTTGACATAGGCTAATGTGTATACGCAACTCGGTATTTCCGCGCTGTCTGAAACACATCTCTATGCTTGTGCGTGCTTTGTGTGCGAGAACAGCGCGTGAGTAATGAATTGAGCTCTCTTTCGTTTCTTCTTGAGGTTTAAAATTGCTTGTATGTGTAAATTGGCAAATTAATCTGCGAATCACGTGTGTGCTGAACCTCCTAATATGTGACTGATCAGAGCAATGTACCTACAATGACTGTGCACTGTGTAACCAATGAGTGACGCATACACGCGCAAGATCACTTCTGGCGCTTGCGTAAACTATGCCAGAGCACGTACACACCTCACGCATCGGATGCCGTGCATAGTGTTGGACATAGTGTTGTATTAGAGGTAAAAAATGATATGAATACTGTTCGGTTTCTCACACAAACCGATCGTTTCGTGTCTTAGTACATCAATGTGTCGTCACGAGCCACAGGGTTTAATTTGGATTTGTCTCTGCATGTTTTTTTTACTCTCATAGATTTTGTTACCATTGCCATGCATTATACGACTGATAGACTGCAACGGCTGGACTTAAAAATCATAATTTGTGTTCTACTGAAGAAACAAAGTCACCTACATCTTGGATGCCCTGGGGGTAAGCAGATAAACATCAAATTTTCATTTTTGGGTGAACTATCCCTTTAAAGCTAAACAGGGACAACAGCGCCTACTACGGTCACAGAATTTGGTGTAACACCGGAAGTGTCTGCCCAGAGTTTGTCGAAGTGCTAACGGCTACGCTAATGCATTTCAGAGCGCAATACGATTCTCTGACTGAATGTGTCATCTCCATCCCGGACACAAATTTACACACTATCGCCATGCTACCGCAGCAGTGAACCTTCTTCACGGCAATAAAAAGAAACGACTGCATATTCTTCTGCTTATCCAAGCGGTGAAACTAGGCAGGTTAGGAATTATTTCGCATCCTAGCTAATGATTTCTGCATGCAGCTGTTAGCATGGAAACAAATAAAGGAAACTCGACTGACAGACTGATTTTTTGAATGCACTGCATTCCCACATCATACTATTATAGATTTATTTAAATCTTCTAATAATTTTTTTTAGTTGGCTCAATAAAATCCATGTATGTCTTGACAGGCAGGAGTACTAACTAGCTGCTAGCTTGTGAGATTATGAGGTTGTCGTTCAGTTTTGGCTTTGTGTGGGTTTATAAAATTACTAAACAGTGTTTTGAATTGTGTTTGCTGTTCCTCGAGTTGAAATAGATTACAATGAAGTTACTGTATTTGACGCCTCCTTATGTGTCAGTATCATGTCAGTTGTGTAGTATTTGTTCAATTCAGTTATTTTCATTTGCTTATTCATTATGGCAAAATGTTTCTATTTACTTTAATATCGTATAATATGTTTCTGTTTTTCTTTACAGAAGACAACATTTGAGTTGACAGTAAACTGAAAGTAGCATGTTTACACTGATCACATTTCTCCTCAGAGTGACTATTTCATTGGTAGTGAGATGATAATAAACAAGTAGCTAAAAGCTTTTGATAGCAAGTAATTGGGCACGATTTTTACACATACTGACCGCATTGTCCCAATCCATGAATCTTTTAACACATAATGGACTGAAAACCTATTCAGCTTGTTTTGCACTGCTGAACTCTTCATCTTAATTTGTTCTTTCAGGTGTGAATGACAGACGTGGTGTCTACCACCGCCCTCAGTGAAATAAAGCTCCGCCTACTCTGCCACGATGACATAGAGAGAATAAAAGTACTCTGTGGCGAGTGGTTTCCCATTGAGTGAGTGCTAAAACATCTAACCAAACCATCCTTTTACACGGGTCATGCTCAACACTAACACACTCTGTTATTGTTTTTGCTGTGTTTTAGGTATCCAGACTCATGGTACCATGACATCACATCAAATAAGAAGTTCTTCTCTCTGTCTGCCACCTTTAGAGGTGGAATTGTCGGGATGATTGTGGCAGAAATAAAAAGCAGAACGAAAGTGCACAAAGAGGTACAATTTGCATATGTATACTGAGACAGTGACACAAAGAGGAAAAACTGAAGAGTCAGAATAAAATAATTCTTGTTGTAATGGTGCAGTACATTCTGTGCTTAAAGGAGTAGTTCATCCAAAAATGAAAATTTGAAAATTTACTTACCCCCAGGCCATCCAAGATGTTACATCACTTTCTCACCGGTGGATCGCCTGCAGTGAATGGGTGCTGTCAGAATGAGAGTCCAAACAGCTAATAAAAAAACATCACAATAACCCACAAGTAATCCACACTACTCCAATCCATCAATTAATCATTAAGATGTTTTTATCTTCAAACAAGTCCTCTGTCCGTAAGATTTCGTTCTCCAGTGAAAAGGTTGTCTCGTCTGAATCAAGAGAGAAATATGCGCAGGACAACTTGCAAGTGAAAACAGTCTAAAACAGTTCTAATCAAATAGGTTATTGGATTTTTTTATGAGAGAGGACAACAGGGGATGGACTTTTTCGCTGTAGGAAGCAATATTATGGATTATGGACTCATATTTTTAAAGTTAAATCAGTGACAAAATTTTGTATTTTTTTCTTACAAACACAGATTTTCACTCCAAAAGACATTCATTGATGGACTGGAGTCATCAGAATGGCTTTATTGCCAAATGTGTTTACATACACAAAGAATTTGTTTTGGTGTCAGGTGCTTCAAGTACAGACATAGTGCAGACATGCATATAATTTAAGGTAATAAAGTGAAATAAAACACTAATAATAAAAGAGAATAGGCAATAAATAAAAAATATAATATGGTAATAAAATATAGAGAAAAAGAAAACATCAATAGACAGATTTGTGAATGTGCATATGAGCTATTTACAGATGAAAAATGTTGATAAGTTATTTACATATGTACAGTCCTGAGATGTGTTGTTCAGGTGGAATATGGTCTGGGGGGAAAAGCTGTTCTCGTGTCTGGCTGTTTTGGTGCTCTGTAGCTCCGGCCAGAGGGCAACAGTTCAAAGAGGAAGTGTTCTGGGTGTGAGGGGTCCAGAGTGAGTCATGTGGATTATTATGATGCTTTTATCAGCTGTTTGGATAATTATTCTGACGGCACCCATTCACTGCAGAGGATCTGTTGGTGAGGAAGTGATGCAATGCTAAATTTCTCCAAATCTGTTCCAATGAAGAAACAAACTCGTCTACATTTTGGATGATCTGAGGGTGAGTAAATTTTCAGCAAATTTTCATTTTGGGGTGAACTATTCCTTTAACCTGTATGAATATGTGAGAGAATTTTGTTTAATGTGTTTTGTGCTATTGAATAATAAATGTTTGGATGAGTAAAAAGTTACTTTGACCATAAACAATAGTTTCTCTGGAGCTTTGATGTAAAGGTTAATATTTCAGAATAAGATCATCTGACATATCCAAAGTATTTTTATAGCGGGTGATTAATTAGGTTACAGACTAAATTTCTGCACGTAACAAAGGATTTGACCTTAATTAGAAAGGATTTTGCCTCTTCGTGGTACAGTTATGTCTCCTACTAAAGCTGCTTGCAGTTACTGTTTGTGCTCATGAGTGCTTTTATATTATGTAAGTTAGATATTACTGTTAAAATAATAATAATAATTGCCACACAATAAAATTGGCAGTGCTATTGATGAGTTTTCCAAAATTGGTGAAAGATCAGGCTATATATAGAGTGACAGAGTAAAGTCCAGTTTCATTACTGATAGTACACATTAATGTTGTTGTGTGTTGAACATTCTTACAGCACTGGGCTAGATACTATTTCTGTATCTAATAGTGCTAGTTCGAATAGTCCTGAACTGTTTACCAGAGGGCTGAAAAGAGAGTGTGATAATATGTGATTTGTCAGGGTTTGAGTGTGATTTCTTCTTGAAGTGATCACAACAGAAATGTGCAAAATTCTTTTAGCATTTTAATTTTAAATTTAATTATATTTGTGTTATTCATTTCTCCCCCAAAATGTGCTAAACACCCAAATGTAACCCAGGAAATGTGTACTGAATAAAAAAATGTACACTGTGTATTATTTCATAATAATAATAATATATATGTATATTATTATGCTACTGTTCAAAAATATTGAACAAGGATACAGTAAATTAATCAAAAGTGACATTTATAATGTTACAAAAGATTTTTATTTCACGTTAATGCTGAACTTTTTTTATTCATCAAAGAATTTTAAAAATGTTTCCACAAAACAATTAACTAGCACAGCTGTTTTCAACAATGATAATAATAATGATTGTTTCTTAAGTAGCAAATCGGCATATTAGAATGATTTCTGAAGGATCGTGTGACACTGAAGACTGGAGTAATGATGCTGAAAGTTCAACTTTGCATCACAGGAATAAATTATTTAATATATATCAAATAGAAAAAGTAATTTTTTAAATGTAATACTTCTTTACAATATTGCTGTTTATACTGTATTTTTGATCAAATAAATCCCAACTTGGTGAGCACAAGAGACTTCTTTTCAAGAAAAAAAAATCTTATAAACTCTTTAACTCCCTCAATATGTCAATCACTAATAACAAAATCCACACCATCACATTTGTTATTCCAGTATGTTCTCCCAGCTAACCGTCTGTTGCTAACTCAGCAAATATTTCTCTCCACCAGGATGGAGACATATTGGCCTCCAGCTTTCCTGTTGACACTCAAGTTGCGTACATCCTGAGTTTAGGGGTCGTGAAGGAGTTTCGAAAACATGGAATAGGTGAGAGTTGACATTTGTCTCACCTGTCCTTACAAACTGTGTGAACTGTCACTCATATCTCTTTCTCTCTCTTTGCAGGCTCTCTGTTGCTGGACAGTTTAAAGGAGCACATCTCCACCACGGCACAGGACCATTGTAAAGCCATCTACTTGCATGTGCTCACCACCAATAACACTGCCATTCACTTCTATGAGAACAGAGACTTTAAACAGCACCACTATTTACCGTATTATTACTCTATACGAGGAGTGCTGAAGGATGGCTTCACCTACGTCCTCTACATCAATGGTGGACATCCTCCATGGACTATCTTATATCCTTTGTGTTATCTCACGCATTTGTGTTCTTGTGTCACATTTATCTGTTAGTGGGAATAATCAAGGTGATTGGTAACTAGAGTTGCATGTTATGTAGGCTGATGAAGTGATGTGTGGCCAAGTATGGTGACCCATACTCGGAATTTGTACTCTGCATTTAACCCATCCAAGTGCACACACACACAGCAGTGAACACACACCCGGAGCAGTGGGCTATAACTAAAAATGTAATTATCATTATTGATACCAAATGATTTTACCTGAGAATGTGTTAATTGGTGTTTTTCCATTATTGTTTGTACATGCACAGCATTTTAGTGTGACTCATGTGCCCTATGTTTCAATGGTACTGGCATCATATAGAAAATTAAACTACTACTACTACTACTAAATTTATTACACTACTGCTCAAACGTTTGGGGTCAGATGTAAATAATATATAATAAAATAATATAATAAAAATGATCAATCCTGGATCCAGTTTCCACAAACATATTAAGCATCACAATGATTTTCAACATTGATAATAATAAGAAATGTTTCCTGAGCAGCATATCAGCATGTTAAAATGATTTCTGTAGGATCATGTGACACTGAAGACTGGAGTAATGGCTGTTGAAAATTCAGCTTTGCCATCACAGGAATAAATGTAATAATATAATAATAATATTTTACAATATTTCTGTTTTTACGGTGATTTTAATTCAATTAATGCAGCTTTGGTGAACATAAGACACATTTAAAAAATATTTAAAAAATCTTAGCTCCAAACATTTGAACAGCAGTGAATATTCTCAGTTGTCTAGGAGTCAGGTAGCAATGTAATCTCCAAAATCACAACATAGGTCCCTTAATATACTGGTCTGAAATTGAACCGCAAATGACTGGCAGAAAGCATTCCTTAACTCACTCAGCACTGATTATATTCATCGTATAGGTTCGGCACTGGCCAGTCTGAGCCCCTGCTCAATTCCTCAGAGAATTTACAGGCAAGCACAGAATCTGCTGCGCAGCTTTCTGCCGTGGTCGAGCATCTCTTCCAAGAGACATGAAATATTGAAAGCAGTAACTGAAATGTTTTTCATAATCTTACCCGATAGTCTCTGAATAGTGAAGCACCCTCTAGTGTTCATTGAGTGGATGGTAGACTAGAGGGGATTTTTTTTATGTTCACAAAATGAATTGTATTTGTTGTATTGCTCTTGCATCCCTCCATTTGTAAACCAGCATAAACCAGCAAAAGGACCAACATAAACCAGCAAAAGGACCAGCTTAAACCAGCAGATTAAACCAGCAAAAGGACTAGCTTAAACCAGCATAAGGACCATCTTAAACCAGCATAAACCAGCACAAGGACCAACATAAACCAGCAAAAGGACCAGCTTAAACCAGCAGATTAAACCAGCAAAAGGACTAGCTTAAACCAGCATAAGGACCATCTTAAACCAGCATAAACCAGCACAAGGACCAACATAAACCAGCAAAAGGACCAGCTTAAACCAGCAGATTAAACCAGCAAAAGGACTAGCTTAAACCAGCATAAGGACCATCTTAAACCAGCATAAACCAGCACAAGGACCAACATAAACCAGCAAAAGGACCAGCTTAAACCAGCAGATTAAACCAGCAAAAGGACTAGCTTAAACCAGCATAAGGACCATCTTAAACCAGCATAAACCAGCAAAGGACCAGCTTAAACCAGCATCCCATCGTCAAAACATACCTAACCAGCATATGCTGTTTTTTTCAACAGGGGGGGGGGGTTAAAGCGCAGCTCGTCGAAGTAACAGTTCTAGTAAACATGTGCCACTATTCTAGGAAATATACAGGAAAAATGTGTTTCTCGTGTAAAGAATGTTTTGGTGGGAGACTGACGCTCAGATGTTGACTTAATATTGCAGTTGACACCAGATGACAGTGAAAAACAGATCCTCCCTAGAGATGTGCGCTGCTTTTCAGTTTTGCTGTGCCAGGACAAATAACAATGCAACTTAGTATTCTTTATTGCTTTTGATGTAGCGCTACAAAAAGTGTCTCAGTGTTGGGTTGGTGACTTAATCTTCAAGAACATTGTACAGTAGCATGAAGGTAGACGTGACCTTTGGCAACTCTTCCACCTTACATACATAGTAAAAAATGTGCCATAGAAAATGTACATAGTAAATATGTTAAATTAACATCTTGATTAATGCATTACATTAGTTTAGGATTTATAAGACATATATAAAGCTGTATGTTTTGAGCATAATTTAGTTTTTCCATTTTGTAGAATTATTGTTGTTATTATTGTTGTTATTTTTACCCAAAATGAAAATGATGTTCTGCTGAATGCAAAAGTAGGCTAGACATTGGCTTGACTGATGTATTTGGTTGCTGTTTTCTATGCATTTCAATGTTTTATATCTAATGAGGACCGAATCTGTAATCTTTTTTTTGTTGTTGTAATTTTGCAATTTGACAATCTGAGTCTGCAGTGACTTAAATTATGTTCGATGTTTAAAAAAAAAAAAAAAAAATGTTTTCCCCCTTCCACCCGCCTCCCCTCGCTGGAAAACTAATTCCAAATTGGTGAATCATATAGGTTTGGAAGTAATAATATAATAATAATATTTTACAATATTTCTGTTTTTACGGTGATTTTAATTCAATTAATGCAGCTTTGGTGAACATAAGACACATTTCTATGTTCGATGTTTAAAAAAAAAAAAAAAAAATGTTTTCCCCCTTCCACCCGCCTCCCCTCGCTGGAAAACTAATTCCAAATTGGTGAATCATATAGGTTTGGAATGAATATGAGTAATGTTACCTTCAAGTCATGTCGGAAAGATTGTATTTACAGGTTGAACCACTGATCAGTGGGCCACCACAAAGTTGGCGAGTGGGTAAACTTGAGATTTTTTTTTTTTAGAGCTCGCAGTTGGAGTCAGTTAGAAAAAATACACAAGACACCGTGAATGCAGCATCTGTATTGATGGTACAATTGTTGAAATTATTAGCATTATTTTTTTTTAAATTTACAATAAAACTAGCTACTAGATACAAAAATACAAAATACAGTTGTGATGCAATATATAACGATTCAGTTCACATTCTAAATTGAATAAAAACATAAAGCAAAAACACACCTGATGCAGATTATGTATCACTTTTAGAAACAGATTTCCAAAATCTTGCTTTATTTTTTTGAAATAAAAAAGGGTTCATCGGCATTTTGCTCTGACCAAAGTGATTTGAGTGCACCTGAGGTTGTAAATTAATTAGATCTTCCCAACTCGTATATACAAACTTCCCTGCAGGACATCATCATAAGGATCACTGATTGTTTTAGGTGATCTCGTTTATTGTTGTTTAGTTTATTATTCTTGATTTGAGGCTGCAAATGATACTGAAAACTACAAGGACAAGGAAAAGGCTGATTACATTGGAGGTTACCATATCCAGGCTGATGTTCGATACTTTTTCCCAAAACTGAAGTCACAGAGCTTAAAGAATCCCAGTGATATGGTGCCCCTCAGATGGGATGTTTTTGTATCTTGAGGTTGCTGATCCATTTTTGTATTCTTTTGAAAGACAGAAAAAATTATTGCATCATAGTGTAATGTACCAGAAGTTAATTTCTTAAAAATGATTTTGTGTCTTCACCTGAAGAACACATTGCATTATTTACTCATTTCTACATAGGCCATTGGGCCATGCTTTCAATTACGTAACTGATAGTTCTCCAGTTGTAATATTGGATTTTGGGGAGTGACAGCATACCCCGTTGGGACCTTATACAGACAACTAGAGGTCATGGTGTACTGAATCTGTTACTGTGACTAGAAGAAATACTGCAGTGTACTCTCATTATATAATTATAAGGTTCTCCAGACAGAGACAGGATTTTCTGCGTGTTGTGTGACCTGCTAAAAACAAGGATTACTAAGAGGATATCTCTCTGTGTAATCCTATCATTGAGTTAATGGAGAGCACGATAACTTTAAGTTACCGAAGAGTAAAACTGAGAGGACACATGTTTTAATGTAATATTAAAGACATGCGGATGGCTATCTGATCATCTGTTTATATAGACTAGCACAATCTGTTGCAGTACAAACTCAAGACAATGACATAGTTCATAGTCAATAAGGAAGAGGATAATACAATGGCAAATTATGATAATTGTTTCTAGAGAAAGCACCTTGAAGTTTTGATCTGTCAGAGAATACCATTGAGATGCAAGTTAGTTTTCAAAGCCTCTTGACAGAATAGATTTGGCCTTTTTAGGCCTGTCGCAATAATCAATATATCGACTTATCGCGCAATATATGTACATGACCTCAATAATTAATGGTGACGCAATATATCGGACAATATATTTACTTAAAAATTCATATCACCATGTTTTGTACATTCCACTTGTGCTTGTGTCTTTTGCAGATTCTTGTACATAACGTGGTGTAGTCATGAGGTGCTGCTAGTACAAATTTTAAAAAAATGCTTCTTCAAAAAAAAAGTTTAATCTGCAGATATGATCTTGTTTAGGGATCTGTGCCTTTGGGCATACGGACATCTGACTGCTAAGTAGTGATTGTGTTTTTCAGCAATAGTGTGCACTCTTAATTTACAGAGAAAATAAGGTCTGGGAAAAATCTGTAGATGGATAAATCTTCATACAAGTTCTTTGTGCAGTTTTCTTTTTTTCTACTTGTTACTTTGCACTTTTTGTTAGAAAATGTTTATTGACTATTTATTCAGGTTTTTTAAGGTATGTAATATTTGGATACTTAATTCCCATGATTTAAATATTCTTAAAAATTAAAAGTTTGTTGTCATTTGGAAGTGTGTAGACCTTCTTGCATCATCATGCTGTTACATTATGATTATATATTCAGTGGCATAAAATTATCTTTAAAATGACAATAATATCGCTTATCGCAATTATTTCTGGGGAAATATATCGCACAACAAAAAGTTGTTATCGTGACAGGCCTAGGCCTTTTCAACTCTATACCAGTCATATATTTGTATTACAAAGATCATATTTTGCAAGCTCCACCATGGGTGTGACCTATGCCTTTCATGTATATCTGTTCATATTGTGCAATCCCAACCTCAGCCAAGCAGGACCAAATGAGTTTAACCTAGTAACAGGTGGAATCCACCTGTTATTTCATTCTGTTTCATGCAATGCCATTTCATTTTGTTTGTTGTTACGTACCAGAGAACTTCATGAAAGCTGTTCTATTTGCTTTTCGCAGGTTCTGGACTACCGAATGGCCAGCCTTGAAATATTGTACTGATAAGAACCAGTATCCAAGAAACAAATACTTACACAAGTCTTTTCACTCATATAACTGTAATAATAAGTTTTAGCATCAATATTACTTAGAATTGTATCGTAAAAATACATTTGTTTCTGCGTATTTCAAGGATAATAGTGGCCTAAGTGTGTCTAAATCTACTACATTAAATTTTAATGATTCTAGGTTGGACTTGTTATAATTGTTGTATTTATTTAATGTGGAGATTAGACTATGGAGGAGTTTGATGCTGATATAGAAATAAAAAAATATATGTTGGGATGAATGCGCATAAAAAAAGCTTATTATGTTGTATTTATAATAACTGTATTGTTGGAAACCCATCAGTCCTGGGAGAAGGAAACTACCCTTAGTTTTGATTAGCTGTTTCCTGGTTGTGTCTTTTGATTGAACAAAAGGTCCTTGTCTCCCTGTTTTCTTTTGCTATCCCTTGTCTCAAGGCCATTTGGAAATTTGGATTACGTTTCCAAAATATTACAGTCATAATCTGACATTTCAAACATGATCTCCACCCTTCTGAAAAACTGAGCTTCCCCTGTTTTCCATCATGCACTCTCAGAAAAAAAGGTACAAAAGCTGTCATTTTAGGTACTAATATGTACACTTTAGGTACTAATATGTACCTTTTAAGGTACCAATGTGGACTGTTTAGGTACAAAGGTGTGACTTTTGAAAAGGTACCGCCCCAGTGACAGCCTTTGAGTGTGTAATCTGCATTTCTAAATAATCAAAATAGGAATGTCTGCTTGTATCAGCTTTTTGGTTTTTGTGGTTAGACCTGAATATGTTCACAGATGTATTTGTGCATAAGTTCAGCAGTGGCATTTTGTCAGGATAGGTTTAGTTTATGTTGGGCAAGTGAATTTGAATATAGTGTAACTTCATTTAGATTTAAGACCATTAAAGGGATA